TTTCATATATAAGACATGTAGGTGTTGCCAACTACTAGCACAAGACAAAATGGCCACACGTCAAGTTATGATTGGTAATCACATATATATGTGTGTTTTTCTGTGATAAGGTTCTTCGATGGTACAATAAAAAGGTAAAATAGAGCCCCCAGCTGATTACAATTTTTTTCTAAGTGTGCCCGACTTCTGCCTATTTTGAGTATGTATGTATTTGTTGTTTTGAAAAATAAAAAATATATATTTTCAAAACCAATGATTGGAAGAAACTTAAATTGCGGCGCGCATTAGTAATATTAACTAGATTTGCCATGGAATATTGAACACTTAGGATCATATTTTTTAGAGAACATCCAGGCATTTCATTCATCTTTCGCGCTATTTGACTCATTTTAGAAATGAAAAAAAATATCAAATAAATGAAAACAACTTTTTGCCTATAATTTTGAATAATTCTTGAAGCGGGCATAGCCTCAGTGCTGTATTTCTGTAGTATTACGAAGCAGTTCTACCTCCTTATTGTACCATGGGTTCTTCCAGAATCTGTAAAAAATACAAAAGAAAACATAAAAGTCGGGCGGGCCAACTTTATGATACCCTACATCTTTCACATATTTTGTAAAGCTTGATATAACAAATAACAAAATATAACAAATCGGATGAACAATGTATATGGGAGCTATAGCTATATATGAACCGATATTCACCAAATTTGACATACTTGTTTCTAGTCTAAATTTTTTGGCTTTTAAAAATTTTGACGCCTGGCAATACTGTGCGAAATCAAAAAAAAAAAAAAAAAAAAAAAATAAATAAATAAATAAAAACCCTTTTAATTGATACTTTACAGTGTTTTGCATTTTTGCCATCCGTCAAAATTTAAGTTGTCACCCTTCTTACCGGTAACGGCAAGATGTTGAAGTTTCCTGGCCACTTGGCAAATTAGGTGACAAAAGGGAAAATAAGTTATCGCGGTAAGAATATTTACTTTCATGTAGTTCTGGAACAGACATTTACTTTGGAAATATTTGTCGATAAAAATTATTATCTTAGCTATTTTCTAACATTAAAGGAACAAAATCTGTGTGAAAAACTGTTGTTTTGTCGTGCGCCAAAATTAAGGATGCACCCTTTTAATTGAGAAACTGTTATCATTTATGGCGTTGCCATTCATTGTTTTACCCATCAACAACTGTTATACAACACATTGTTTAAGCTAACTGGCCACATAACATGTTGAGGTTTTTTTTATCAGAATTTTGGTTTTTATTTTTTTTCATCAGAAATTGATACCTTTTTTATCCAAAACTTTTAATGTATATTTTCGAATAATTTCTTGAATTTGCCCCCATCTAGGAAAATGTCTAAAATAAGTTAACTCTGATTACACGAATATTTTCTGAGTTTACAATAAGCACGAACAATCTTGCACAGCAATGAAATCAAAAACTAAATGAATGAATATTAATTAAACTTAGACTTGACCTTGTCTATCAGACATTTAAATAAAACATCAATTGCTCATATAGCCATGGTGATGATGTTAATGATAATGAAGTGTACATTTTCATTCTCATTTCCATTTGTTGTTGTTGTTTTTTTTTAATAAAATTATTCATTTTCTAGTTAATAATACTATATACATTCTGTTTTTGCATTGTAGGTAGCAACAATTGTATTGTTTGCATTGTTGTGGTGCTGTAATAATAATCGGAATGGCAAAAACACACAAATACATATTTATTTATATTAACAAAAACCTACAAAAGTTACATATACATATGTATATATACAACAATTTGCGTGACCATGAATAAATTGCACAATGACGTTGGATAAATTACGTTTGCAAAAAAAAAAAGTATAGAATTTTTTGTTTTTACTTTTCGCGAACACGAACAGTGTTTTTTGTGTTCGCTGGTCAGATTAATATCAGAAAATAGTTGTGTTTTCTATAAATAATTGCAACAATGCACTATCAGCCACAGCCACAACAACAAAAACATGAAAAATGATCACAGAAAATAATCTATAGCAAAACATGGAAGTGTTTTGTTAATTTTTTTGTTCAATAAAAGGTGTGTCATTAAACATTTTTTATTTTGCAAAAAAAAGTAGGTCACTTCCAATATAAAAAAGTGACGGTCGTCATACAAATAAATCAAGAAATAGTTGTTTTGAAATGCGAATCAAATTTACAAGAAAATATTTAGGTGATAGGTGGAGGCAGGCTTTTGTGTGGTTTTTTGGGAAGATAACCCCATTAAGTTATAGCAGATTCATATATTTTTCATATCGCCTGTCATACGTTAACACAATGGTTGCTGTTTTTTCAGAGCGCAGCATTATCAGCTGAAATACGAGACATTTGTTAAAGCTGGTCGACCACAAGTTGAATTCACATATCATTATCGCATAAAACGTAAAGTTTTGGAGAAATCTTAAATAAATAATGAAAAAGTTTGCAGGGGTTTCCATAGATGACTGATATGCTGTTATGTGCCATGGATGCTTGCCATACTCCAATATTTAAGATTACACTGTTATGGCGAGCAACTTTTATGTATATAGGAGTTGCCAACTACCAGCACAAGACAAAATGCCTATACCACATGGCCACACTTCAAGTTATCTTTCTTAAAGACATAAATATGTGTATTGTCTTAAACAATCTTATCAAAGACTTGCAGATCATGGAAAATAGAGCATATGATATGAAAAATAGAAAATTTGATTAAAAATATGGAAGCGAAATCCCTATAATTTCTTAAAATATAAAATTAGTGAAAATTGCATTGAAAAAATGGAAAAAAATTAAAATCATACACAGGGTGAGACAAACAAAAAACTGCAACAAAGTCAAACGACATCATTTTTACACTTTTTTTATTTTTATTTTTTTAAAGAAAGCAAAAAATTTTGGAAATAGCATTAAATTTTAGAATAAGTTTAGATTTGTTCGAATTGGTCATCTTTGGCATGAATTATGGCCTGTAAGCGTCACACGCGGTCCGAATGTTGTTCTGCGGTATTTTGGCCCATTCCCGGCGAAGCGCTTGCTTGAGGTGATCCACACTTTGGCATTTTTTGAGTGCCAACTTTGCTTTCCAAAATACTCCAGGTACAATAGTCCAACGGATTTTGGTGGACATCGGGCGCTGGAAATGAAGCGAGGAACCTCATTTTGTAGCCATTCTTGGGTGGCGCGTGCTGAGCGCGATGCTGCTGAGTCCTGTTGGAATGTCCAAGGTCTGTGGCGTGCCCAAGGCTTTAATACATCCTCCAGAATATTTTCGCGATGATATTCGGCATTTATTCTGATGTTGGAATGTCCAAGATCAGCGGCCAAAATGTTTGCGTGCCCCAGGCTTTTATACACCCTCCAGAATATTTTCGCGACAATATTCGGCATTTATTCTGATGCCACGGAATGGGTGCACATTTTCAGCTGACCTCTTTGGCCAGTAAACACGATCATTTTGTTTGTTTACGAACTGCTGGACAACGAATGTTTTCTCTTCGGAGAGAAGAAAACCAATTTCGGCAGTTCACCACTTTCGCCCAAGCGAAGCAACACTTTAGCTCTTTTGAGCCTTTTTTTCTGTTGCGGTGTAAATTTTTGCACTTTTTGGAATTTCAATGGCTTTACCCGAGCTCATTTTTCAATATTTTTGCCGAATGTAATATTGCGATATGTTCAGCTCACGAGTCATTTTTCGGTCACTGCGACGCATTCTTCGATTTAAAGTCGCTTCTTTACTTTCTTCCATCCACTTCCTTGACGTCGCGCTACGCTATGATTTTTTCACATTTAAATGCTTGAGTGCTCTAACGATAGCCAAATGGTTTTCCAGCCAAATATAAAGAAATCACACTATCACGCTTGAATTCAATCACGAAAAACATTTTTTTTTCTCACCAAAATGCTTTTGTACGCTTGTAAACAATATAATGAGCTGTCACTGGAATAATTTTAACAGCTGTCAGACGAGTGACTTAGAAATGACAGCAGTCTGAAGTTGGTTGCAGTTTTTTTTTATCTCACTCTGTATGCCTAGTCACTTTTATACATGGGAGTTGCCAACTACTAGCATTAGAAAAAATGCTTATGCTACAGGACCACACATCAAGTTTTGATTTGTAATCACAGATATATGTGTTTTTCTTGGCCAAAACTAGCAAATTCTTGCAGATTCTGAAACCGATTCTATCATATGGAATATGAAGCGAAACCCTTTAAATATTCAAAATATATTTTTATAATGTTAAGCCATATATTACAAATATATGTATCAATTATTTATACGATAACTCTAGAAACCTATTATCAAAAATTGTCTAGGGGTTTGGATAGTTGACGCTGTTAGGTATCATCGATGCTTGCCATACGCTTATATTTAAGATTTAACTTTTATACATGGGAGTTGCCAACTACTAGCATTAGACGAAATACTTATGCTACCTAACCACACGTCAAGTTATGATTGGTAATCACAAATTTATGGGGTTTTCGTGCCCAAAACTAGCAAATTCTTGCAGATTCTGGAATAAAACATATCTTATGATAAATGAGTAAAAAACCATTTCAGCGAAATCCTTATAAATGTTCAAAATATAAATTTCTTGAAAAATCATATATAAAAAATCACATATAACTTTTAAAAATCTTTTATCTAAATTATATATACATATACCATAGGTATAAAAACCTATTATCCAAATTCTATATACATAAATTCCTTTTTGGTATGGATGTAAAGAATCAGGATCCTGTGTCTAATGGAAGAAGGAAGTCATGGCATACATACATTTTTGGTGTCTGCATGATTTTGTTTTTACTTCATTCCATTGCATATTTCAGTTTCCTTTACATCATCGAAATTGTTTATTAAAACATTATTTTTGTTTTTTGCATTTTATTTTAATAACTTGTTTTTCCATACAATTTATGTTATTATATTATTTTTGACATTTTTCTCCCATTCTCTATTCTCTTGTTTCAGACTCTTTTTGTGCTCTTACATAACAACATAATAAAAAAACGGGAAAACGTAAAAAAATACAAACGTTACACAGAAAGAACACTATACAAAAATTCAAAGAATAATAACAACAACAAAAACTCATCATAACAACAACATTTTTTTACACTAAATAGCGACAAAAAATGATGATGTATTCGCGCGAAAATGTATCGCTTTCTTAATGCCCAGCAGCAGCTTAAAAAACGAACAAAATTACGAAATTATCATCAGTTGTTATTATATTTCGTGTTGCCGCTAACAAATTTTAACGCCGTTCAAATTACTTTGACATCAACGCCGTCGTCGTCGTCGCCGTTATCATCATCGTCGCCGCCACCGTCGCCGCTTTCGCAGTCGTTGTGACCATCCGTTATGAAGACAACATCGTATTGTTTGTTTAAAAAGGAAACTAAAAAACATATTTATAAATTGCAATTATAACATATAACGTAGATGAACACTTGTCATAAGGCTTTTTGAAAAAAAACGGAACGGAACCGGAAGACCTTAAAAAAGAAAGTCAGAAAATAAAAGCAAACCCTATTACTTCCTCCTGCCATCATTAAGTAAAACTGATACAAATCATATTATTTTGTAAATTATTTTTAAACCTCCTCCTACTGCTCCAACTCATTCATCTTGTATGACAAAAAATCATAAACTTTCACCTAAAAAAATATATATTTATTTATATTTCGATATAATTTATTTTGCTAAACATTCGTCGTCGCCGTCACCAAGGAATGCAATAGAAACATATTTTTGTGTTTAATTCATCATAAATCATATTAGCATTACAACAACAATAATAATATTAAACAACAATAACAAAAATAAAACGTAACAAAAAACTGCCTTTAATAACCAACCAATAAACAAACAAGCTCCAAAAAAAGCAACAAAATATCGAATCGCTAAGAAAAATTAACAACAAAAACAACAAGATCTTCAACTCTACTACAACAAAAAAAAACAAAACAAAAAAAGTACCCACCGATAATCTGGCGTCATACGCGTTTAACTTAACCTGGAACGCTCTAACAATTAACATCATCAGCTTTTTCCTTAGAGAGAGAGAGAGAGAGAGAAAAAAAAACACCCACACAGCCAAAGCACCAAAGGATATTTTCTTCTGAATACAACTACACAGGATAACATTTTCAACAAAAAACACACAACGAAATAGGGAAAACACCAATCTGCCCCCCATTCCCCTCAACCAAAATCGAATTGAAACTTTCTCGTTGCGCACCCCCATTTCGACCATCATCGCTTTTTCTTTCCGAAGTGAAAAAAACAGTAACAAAACCATCAACCATCGAGCCTTATTTAAAGAGATATGGCAGCACCTCAAGTCAAAGACTTGGTGTTGCGCTCGCCAGCTGGTTCATCTGAGGTAATCACATTCTCGTGGCCCCTGCAAGTTGGTACCGGTTCCGATCGTCACGACAATGGCATCGATATTATTGACACAATTAAATTTGTTTGCGATGAACTGCCCAGCATCTCGTCGGCATTCGAGGAGATTAATCTTAATCATATAGACACTGCCTGTTATAAGACTATGACAAATCTTGTCGATCGTTTTAATAAAGCTGTTGACAGTATTGTTGCATTGGTAAGTACCACTGACCTTTATTCAATATCTTTTTAAATAATCTCAAGCTATTATTAAAAAAGGATTGTCCAAAACAGAAGAATTTCACTAACAAATGATAGTTAATATTTGGTCTGTTCCTAAGAATGTAAATTTTTTTACTACGATTTCCGATTTTCCCTTTACGAAAGCGGAAAAAATTGCAAAACTAGTAGATTCTTGCAATTTCTGGTACAGAGCAATTATTTTTGACAATTGACACACTTTATATTTTTAAGGAACCCCCGTTTCATGGTGTTATAAAGTGAGATGGCCACACACCGAGTTAAATTTTTTATACCCTTTTTATACATATGGAGGATATATTAAGTTCGTTATTACATTTCTAACTCAGCGAAATAATAATTTTAGACCCAACAAAGTATATATAATCTTGATCAGCGTAAATTCTGTCCGTCCGTCAGCTTTTATAATCAAGCTAGAGTCAAAACGAATAAAGAGAGGAAGCTAAATTTTTGCACAGACCAGTCTTTTGTGTGCAGGCAGGTTTAGTCCAAAGATGGGCTATATCGGTTCACGGTATCGTGTAGCCCCATATAACGGTACCCCCGATATTCGCTTTTTAATGACTTTAGCCACATTTTTTTAAGGAAATTGTCTGAAATTCTGCACGGAAGTTTTCTGTGAGTACTTTACCCCCTGGAAAATAATTTTCTATATAGGTCCAATATATCCTATAGCCCCCATACAACGGTACCCCCCGATATTCGGTATTTTGATGATTGTAGCCAAATTTTTCAACGAAATTGTCTGAAAATCCACAAAAGGAGTTCCTTTGGAGTACTTTACCCCTTGGAAGAGAATTGTCTATATAGATCGACGTTTTAGTATAGCACCCATATAACGCTGTACCCTGATATTCGATATTTTGACGATTTTAGCTACATTATTCACCGGAGTTGTTTCAAATTTCGTATTTAGAATTCGTACCCATTACGACAGCCTATGACAAAAAATTGCGGATGTAGACCCACGTCTTCATATAGCTTCCATATAACGGTATCTGCCAATATTCGGTATTTTGATGGTTTTAGCGACATGATTCACCGGAATTGTCTCAAATTTCGTATTTAGAATTCGTAATGGATGGGTACTACAGCCAATTACAAAAAATTGCGGATGAAGGCCCACGTCTTCGTATAGCCTCCACATATCAGTACCTACCCATATTCGGTATTTTCATAATTTTAGCGACATTATTCACCAAAATTGTTTGAAATTTCGTATTTAAAGTTCCTAATAAGTACTACAGCCTGTGACAGAAAATTGTCTATGCAGGTCCAGGTCTTCGTATGGGCCCCATATATCAATACCTCCCTATATTCGGTATTTTGACAATTTTAGGCACATTATTCACCGGAGTTGTTTCAAATTTCGTATTTAGAATTCCTAATGGGTACTACAGCCTGTGATAGAAAATTGCCTATGCATGTCCCAGGTCTTCGTATAGCCCCGATATAACGGTACCTCCCCATATTCGGTATTTTGATGATTTTATGGTTAAATTATGGACCAATTTGTAGATATTTGACAGTGAAACAAAACACGAAAAGTGCATGAGCTGTATAAACTAGTATTGCCAAAAAATAATAGCTAAAAAATCAACCATGAATTATCCAAACTTTCGTATGGAAACTAGGTAGGAAAGAACAAGTGGATTGTCCGGAGTAGTAGAGGTATCTTGGTTTGTTAGGGTTTTCATAAAAAATCAATTGGCTCAAAAACCGTCCATTTTTATATATGGGCACATATAAAATGTTTTCAATTAGCTATTCAATTCCTTTTTGAAAGTTAAATTAAAAATAACCGAATTTTCATCTTTATGATGTAAAAAAGCATATTATGTTGTCTTTGTCTCACGTTATATTTTAAGGAGCACCATCGATGTGTACTTTTAAGGCCATTCTTTCCCCTGTTTTGAATATATTTTTGACATACGCTAATATTAAAGATGGAACTCTTATGCAGAGAAACTATTATGTATATACATAAGTGTTGCCAACTACTAGAACAAGACAGAATAGGTATGCTACATGGCCATACGTCAAGTTAATTTTTGCAGGTTCTAGAACAGAGCATATAATATGTAAAATAGAAAAATTATCAAGCCCCATTTACAAGAGACCCCTATAAATAAATTTTGCTGAAAATTGGTCCAAATTTAATGGAGTTTTTTTTTGGAAAAATGTAAATGCATTTCTATTTTTGCCGCAAGTTATAGTTTAAGGTGTACGCCTGTTGGAAATACGATGCATTTTAAGAGCTGTTTGCAAGGGTAAAATATAATTTTTTAAAACATTTTTCTCATTTATCCCAACCCTTGGATTCCAAAATTCCCATAGTTATGAGAAAATCGTAAAAAAAATGTTTTCTATTTTCTGATCTTTAATCGACGTGACTACATCAACACAACCTACTGGACAATCCTTTTTATTGTTCTACTTTCTACATTTTTTTAACCCATTCTAACAATTCATTATTTTGTTTTATTCTATTCCAGGAAAAAGGAACCTCACTGCCCGCCGAGCGTCTTAACAAATTCGCTCATCCCAGTCTCTTAAGACATATTTTACAATTAGTTTACAATTTTGCCGTACTCGATCCGGATAAGCTAAACAATTATGAACCATTTTCGCCGGAGGTCTATGGTGAAACCTCCTATGAATTGGTCTTGCAAATGATCAAACATGTTAATGTTACAAATGATGATACCTTCATCGATTTGGGTTCCGGTGTGGGACAAGTTGTTCTACAGATGGCCGGTTCGTTTCCGCTGAAATCATGTATTGGCATTGAAAAAGCCGATACGCCGGCCCGCTACGCCGAACGTATGGATATGTTCTTTCGCCAATTTATGGCATGGTTCGGTAAACGTTTTTGTGAATACAAATTGCTCAAGGGTGATTTTTTGGTCGATGAACATCGCGAGAAGATAACAAGTTCATCGCTGGTATTTGTAAATAATTTTGCATTCGGACCGAATGTCGATCATCAGCTGAAGGAGAGATTTGCCGATTTGAGAGATGGTGCGAGGATTGTATCGTCGAAATCATTTTGCCCATTGAATTTTCGTATAACCGATAGGTGAGTTGGAAGAAAAAGAGAAGAGGAAAAAGGAAGGTCAATGCAATCAAAAGTACCACAATTTGTGGGAGCTAGCTGAGATATTAATTGAAAACAAGTAAAAAAGCAGCAAGTTCGGGGCCGGGTTGAACTTTGAAAACTCTTCCCCAAATGGAAAGAAATTTTGAAATTTTCAAAAAAAAAAAAAAAACTGAAAATTCTGAAAAATACTGTATAAATGGTTAGCTTTTTATAGTTTGAAGACGTGGACCTGCATAAGTAATTTTTTGTCATGGGCTGAAATACCCATTAAGATCTTCAAATACGAAATTTGAAACAAATTCGGCGAATAATGTCGATAAAATCATGAAAATAACGAATATCAGGAGGAACCGCTATATGGGGGCTATACGAAGACGTGGACCTGCATACGAAATTTTTTGTCACAGGTTGTGGTACACATTACGAAGTGCAATGACGAAATTTGACAGAATTCAGGCGAATAATGTAGCTAAAATCGTCAAAATACCAAATATCGGGAGGTACCGATAAATGGGAGCTATACGAAGACCTGGACCTGCTTAAGCAATTTTCCGTCACAGGTTGTAGTACTCGTTACGAAGTGCAATAACGAAATTTGAAACCATTCCGGTGAATAATATAGCCAAAATCATCAGTTATACCGAATATAGGGAGGTACCGATAAATGGGAGCTATACGAAGACTTGGACCTGCTTAAGCAATTTTCCGTCACAGGCTGTAGTGCCCACTACGATCTTCAAATAAGAAATTTGAAAAACATCTGTCAAATAATGTCGGTAAAATCATAAAAATACCGAATAAAGGGAGGTACCGTTATATGGGGGCTATACGAAGATCCGGAACTGCATAGATAAGTTTTTGTCATAGATTGTGGTACCTATTAGGAATTTCAAATACGAAATTTGAAACAATTCCGGTGAATAATGTAGCCAAAATCATCAAAATACCGAATATAGGAAGGTATCGACATAGAGGACTTAACGAAGACCTGGACCTGCACATTCAAATTTTCTGGCACAAGTTGAAGTACTCGTTGCGAAGTGCAAACACGAAATTTGAAACAATTCCGATGATTAATGTAGCCAAAACTATCCAAATACCGAATATAGGGAGGTATCGATGTAGGGGGCTATACGAAAACCTGGACTTGCATAGGCAAATTTCTGCCACAAGCTGCAGTACTCGTTACGAAGTGCAAAAACGAAATTTGAAACCATTCCGCTGAATAATGAAGCTAAAATCATCAAAATACCGAATATAGGGAGGTACAGTTATGTGGGGGCTATACCTAAACGTGGACCTATAAAGCCCATTTTCAATACCAAAAGTCCTGAAGACAAAACATGCATTTGAGTAGAATTTTATCAAGAATTTTTGATTTTTCAAAATTTTATAAAAAAATGGCAACAACGCTCCAAATCCTCGCTTGATTGTAACGACCGAACTTCTTCCTCTCTAAATGACTTCCTATATATATGGAATTTCCTCACTAATCCTATTCCCATTTTTCTTTCAGAAATCTCAGCGATATTGGCACAATTATGCATGTCAGCGAAATACCTCCCCTTAAGGGCTCCGTATCATGGACCTGCAAACCGGTTTCCTATTATCTGCATGTCATCGATCGTACAATATTAGAACGTTACTTTCAACGGCTCAAAACACAAAAAGGTGCTGAAAACGATCACGTGGGTAAGTTGTGCCAGGCCGTTGTGCAGCAGCATAGGCCGGGAATCTCATGTTTCCCTCATCAATCAATCAATCGAACTCCAAATGTTGTGCTCCAAAAAATCGTAGGAAAAGCAAAATGAACAATTAAAAAAGAGACAACGTCTTCAAAGAAAAGCTGAAAACCACTACCACACACACACACGCACAGTGTACATTTGTCGCCCAGCGTTCGTTCTATTCAACGATTTTGAAATTTGTCGTCTTTATCTTTTTTTGATTCTCAAAACCCGCTCATTTTCATAATAACAACCAAATATTTTTTCAAATTTTTTTAAAATATTTTTCAATTGGTTTTCAATATGTTTGAAAAAAAATTCATTTTTTCATATATTTTCCATTCCCGTTTTATTTCCTTTTCCATCCTTTTGTGTGTATTTTGTTCTAGTACTTGTCTTCAACTATCAATTTTCGAACTTGTACTTGTTTTCATATCGAAAAAAGAAATTGAATTTTTTTGTATCGATTTTCAATATATTTTCGAAATCAAAACCAGTTTTGCAACTGCATTCACTTTCATCTATAATTGCGACTTGATTGTTTCGCCCATTCTTTTTTGGCCACTATGGGCTTTAACTTGTTCGAAAAGATATATCAATTTATCCAAAAAAGGTGTAAATCAATTTAAATCCTAATCATCTTCCTTATTCCTTCCATTTGCCTTCAAAATTGGATAATAAACAAAGCAGGAGAATAGGAAGATAGATGCCTCTTCTAGATATAACAAATCGTAAAGGATCATAGATGCAAACGATTTTAGAAGTCTTTAGAAATTCTTTACAAACTATTTATACCCTACACCACAAGGTGGTCAGGATATTATGTCTTTGTGCATTTATTTGTAACAGGCAAAAAGGGGAAACGTTCCATTTAATGATCTGCATAGAATCACATTCTGAGTAGAGTCCCGTCCGTCCATGTATTTTTGTAAAAAAAGTATAGGTCAAATTTATTGTCCGATTCAGATGAAATTTCGCACAAAACATTTGTTTGACCCAAGGACGAACCCTATTGAAATTGGTAATAATCGGACAAAATTTAAATACAGCTAACACACATATCTTCGTCCGATTTGCCTTTTATTGTGCACCAAACGTGTAATATCAGCCCAAATGGTATGGACTTTTGCATATACGACCGAACTAAGGTTGGAAATAAGTATGCCAAATTTTATCGTAAACGGTTCAGATAGAGCTATAGCTCCCACATATATTGTTCTTTCGATTTGATATTTTTGTCCTCCATAGCCGTAATATGCACTCTGAAACAACAATATTTGGGGAAATATATCAAATACAGCTCAATAATACATTTGCTAAATTGTATCAAGATCGGTTCAGATTGGGATATAGCTCCCACATATATCTTCGTCCGATTTGCCTTTTATTGTGCACCAAACGTGTAATATTAGCCCAAATGGAACGGAATTAAGCGCTTGCGACCACATAGAGCTTAGAAACAAGAATGTCAATGGTGAAAACGGTTCCGATACAGCTATAGCTCCCACATATATTGTTCATGCGACTTGTCAATTTTTATACCCTCAGCCAAATGGCTAGAGAGGGTATATATCATTTGACACGGCCAAACCATGCCTCATCGAAATAACGGCTTTAGACCCTAGGTCTCTTTGGATCAAACCCGTTTCAGGACATTTGAAGTCGATCTAGCGATGTCCGTCCGTCTCCCTCGAAGGGAGTATCCGATTTGATCCAAAATTGGTACATCGTAATATTATTGTCAAACTTAGATCGGGCTCGGAGATGGGCAATATCGGTCCACTCCTTTTGGTACCTCCCCCACAAAATGTCGACATTTTCAAAGAACATATTTTACTGCACAGAAAGAGAAAGGATAATCCGATTTTGCTCAAACTTTATAAATTCTAATATTTGTATCAGTGCTAGGTCAGGTGCGAAAATGGACAATATTGGTTCACTCCATCAAGTACCTCCCCCACAGAGGGTCAAAATTTGGAATAATTATAACTCTTATAAAATGTGATGTAATAGTCCGATTGCCTTCAAACTACACAGAGCGCCATATTTTTATTAACCCAAGGTCTGGTGATAAGTTGGAATATATCGGTCCACTCCTTCTGGTACCTCCACCACAAAGGTTAAAAATTTTTAATATCCATGAAGTTCACATCTTAATTTTTCCATCAGCAAACGATCTGTTATAAAGATTGTAGAGATTGGACCATTTCTTCTGGTACTTCCCCCACAAAGGGTCAAAGTTTTGAATAACCAAAACAATTATAAAATCCGAAATAAACAACCAGCTCTCTTCAAATAACACACATCCCTCTATTTCTACTAACACAAGATCTGCTGTGAAGATGGGATATGTCGGTCCACTCCATCCACAAAGGGTCAAATTCCACTCAGACTTAGTACATCTCAATATTTCCATCAACACAAGATCTCTTATAAAGATGGTAGACATCGCGCCATTTCTTCTGGTACCCCACCAAACAGTTTTGCTAACATAAAATCCGACTGATATTTTCTAACTTGTTTATGGAAAACTTGTAGAAAATGTAATCTAAGGTATAGCATGGCTTGAGAAAATATTCCTATAGGAACCAGTAAAAGGACTTGTAGAAGACATTTAGAGGTATTCTATGGACATACAATTTTAGGGGAAAAAGAGGGAGCACTTATAAAGTTAGGATACCTCTAGTAAAGTCTTATGAACTTCCATTTGATTTTAAAGTGATATCGGATGTATTTTATACAAGATTTCTGTTTCCAGAGGGTATTTTAGATAGTAAGGACCTGTTAAAATACATTTACCAATAGAAGACGTTTCAATGGTCTTCTATTCTCTGGGGATCTCTTGAAATCTCATCAAAAGAAACAACACTTTTACTTATTTAGGGATGATAATTTTGATAACTATACTTTTGAAAAGGTCTCCAGGAGGGCTTCCAAAACCTCATTCAAAAGGGGCAGTTTAAATTCCCATTTCAAATTTTAATCCCCATTCAAAAACCAAATCCTAAGCAATTTTCCAATTCCAAATCCTAACCAATCCCTCCAAAACCTCATTCAAAAGGTGAAATTTAAAGAAGTTATTTTTTATATCAGCCTTGTTTTGGGCTGGGAAAGGGTGTTCTTTAAAAACCCTTATCTATTCCCAACTCAAATTTGAATCTCCATACAAAAACCTAAATCCTAACCTATTCTCTATTTTCATGTGTGTGGCATATTCCATTTTCCATTACTAATTCCAAGCATATTTCCTTTTCTTCTATTTCCAGGCGGCTCAACACGTACCACTCGAGATCGGGCCAAACGTGAAGCCAATAATCAGGCAAATTCACAAAATTCCAATTCATCGCTTACAGCTCGTACCAATTCTCCTGCTGCTCATGCCAAAGATAACAACAGCAATAGCAACTCGAACAACGGTGGCAGTAACAACAACAACAATTCCAACACCAGCACCGCCGCTAGTAACACAACAACAACTACAAGCAGCACAAAAACCAGACAGCAGCAGCAACAACAACAGCAGCAGCAGCAACAACAGCAACGTAGTGCTGAAATGGAAACTTCAACCGAAAGTGATGGAGATGCGGCCACAACAAATGGTGGCAATAGCAATGGCAGTGGTGGACCTGTTACTCGCAAAAATTGGTCCGATTGGGCCAGTTCCAAGGGTAAAAGTTCACAATCGGATGAGGAGGAGAACAATAATCAAACCACCACAACATCTTCCACGCGTACGGTACGCACCACGACACAAAAGAAACGCAAGAAACTAACCCGCAAGGCTGCCATTGCTAGTAAGAGTGCTGCAGCCGCTGCCCAAAGGGAGGCAGCTGCCAAGGAAAGAGCCGAGGCGGCTGCCGCTGCGGCCAAGGATAACTCCTCCAATCAGGATGGTGGCGGTAACAACTCAGCCGGTGGCAGCAGTAGTGCCAAGGGAACATCAGCTGGTGGCGCCGGCACAGCGGCTGGTCGTAAGGGTCGCCTAAAGAAGGGCGCCGTACGAGGCAAACGCTGCGCCAACATTGCTGGCCTGGAAATTCTACACAAACAAACCCTGCTCTCCACCTCCATAGAGGCAATGAGCAAAAAATTACCCCCCGCCCCCGGATGTGTTGATCAGCAACTGACCTCCCTGCTAACCGATAATATGGCTCATCGTGAATTGGACATACCCACTCAGCCGAATGACACGCCCTATGCTTTGCAGATTTTGCTTGATGTTTTCCGTTCGCAATATATGGCCATGATCGAACAGATGAAATCGAAATCATTTGTGCCGAATATCAAGCGACAAATCCAATTGGAACAGGAACGCAAGCAACGCATTAAGAATCGTGCCTCACAACTGGACAAACAAATCAAGGTGCTAATCGATGACAGTGTGGCCCTGCTCAAGGTGCGCATGAATGAGTTGGGCATAAATGTTTCGTCGCCCAACGATTTAATAGCGAAGGCCAAGGAAATAGTGGGGCGCCACAAGGAGCTGCAAGGTGTGGCCAAGAAAATTCAAAGTCAGGTGACAGCCTGTGAAATGGAGCAAAGGCGTTTGCTCAAGAAACACCTGCAGCACCTGCCCGAATATCAGCTACTCTATGGGGCCAATGGTAAGACCAAGCTACATGATGTCCCCGGTGGTGGTGGTGGAGGTGAGCTTTCGGAGGCAGCGGCCCATGAATTGGTCCTAAAGGAAATTGCCAACACCTTGGCCCAACGCAAGAAACTGGTGGCCCAAGTTTCGAGCATTGAAAAGGAGGCCAAGAGTTTGGAAAAGGCTGCCGAGGAACGTAGGGCCACTGCTGCTCTATTGGCTCAAGGCACCAATATAATTGTGGCAAATAATAACTCAAGTGCCTGCAGCAGCAGCAGTAGATCTTCTTCGGCCATGGATGTGTCACCGGCAAATCAACCCCTGCAATTGACCACCCACAATCATGTAAATACCACAACGATATCCATTAACCATGTAGCCAATTCAAATTGCTCCTCCGCATCATCGTCGTCGTCGTCATCCCTGTCTGCGGCCACAGCAGCTGTTGTGGGGTCAGCTGGCCCATCTTCTACCCCCTCTACCTCTTTAGTGCCAAATAATGCTACAATTCAACCGTCTATAACTGTTACCAAAACCACCAGCAACACCGGTAAATCGGGTAGAAAGGCCCGGGATCATCGTTCACGTTCCCAGGAATGGCCGGATGTGCCAGATGTGGGCAAAATCGAAGAAAGTAATCCGGAAGTATTGGCCCAAAAGATATTGGAAACTGGTCGTAAAATTGAGGCTGGTAAACTGGCCAAGCAACAACAACTGCAGCAACAACAGCAGCATCATCAGCAACAACAACCTTTGGCCCTCAACAATCACCACCACTATCAGATGCAAGCTCAGCATCATTTGCCTCACGCAGCTGCTGCAGCTCATCAGCAGCAACAGCACCATCATCATCCCCATCACCATCCGGAAGATAAACCCTATCGTAAAAAACATGAACGTTCCGCAAGTAATGAACATTTGCCCAGTATAGGTGGCGCCTATGCTGCCCAGTACTCTGGCCAACAACATCCGGATGCGGCCACATTAATGCCAGCCCCCAAGCAAAGAAATTCCGGAGGAGCTGAACAGCCCATGAATTTGAATAACAGCAACAACAATGCCATGCGTGCCCTAAATGGACCCGGAACAGTTGGCAGCAGCAGCAGTTCGAGTATTTTGCCCAAATGTGAAATGCCGGGAATGCGTAAAAATCATGCCTCCCCCGCTGCTGTGGTAAGCATTCAGGAATCACCAAAAGTGGCCAACTTTGAGGATCGACTCAAGAGCATTATAACCTCAGCACTAAATGAGGATCAGGAACAGCGTAAGGCCCAGCAGGTGAATCAGGTACAAGTGGACATTACACCCATAAAGCAGCCGACAACAGCTGCGAAAAGGCAAAAACATGCACCACCTCCTCCTCCCCTGCCGCAAAGCAATCACAATTCGCTGAGTAACATCATCAATGTGGCAACGCATAGCATGACCCACCTAAATGCCACAACCACAATATCGCCCATCAACACAACATTGCCTCCTCCACCCCAGTCGGGTTCACACAACAAATATGCGAGTGGTGGTGTCGGCTCGGCATCATCCAAGGCCATGTTACATCCCCTGAATACAACGTCTTCCGGTGTTATGAATTCCACAGCATCAAAATCCAACTCCTCATCGACGGCAAAATATGGCCATCATCCAAATCACATTGGTGGGCCACCCCATTTGAACAGTAGCAGCAGTAGTTCGGGTAATAACCATCCCTATGGCCATCCTGCAGAACATAATATGCTGAGGAGGCGTAGTTCTATAAGTGCAGCCAGTTATGAGCAATATATGGCACAACAACAACAGCATCACCATATGAATCAAAATCTGCACCATCATCATCAGCAACAGCATCAGCATCAGCAGCAGCAACCATTGATGATGAACGCCAATAACCACAATAATATGTCATTGGAGTTCAAACAGCCACCCTTGGAAAATCATTTGGCCCATCAGCAACGTTCCAGCAGTCGGGAAATGTTAATCGATGAAACGCAGCCTGTACGTTCCAGTTCTGCAAATTCTGATTCAGCTTTGTCTTACTATCCACCAACCAGGGATCGTCTGATGTCCATGGAGAGAAGTAATAGTCGAGAATCTGCAACGGCGGGTCAACATCTTGGCGGAGGTGCTCAGCAACAACAACAATCACAACAGCCTCCCAGCCGACCAAGCTCAAATTCATCTCAACCCGATTATACCCAAGTCTCACCGGCCAAAATGGCCCTTAGAAGACACCTCTCCCAAGAGAAATTAAATCAACATATGCCTCCCGGGTCGGCAGGGGCTAGTGGTGGCGGTATGGCTTCCAAAACAATTGGTGATTTGGTTAATGGAGAAATTGAGAGAACTCTGGAAATAACCCATCAATCGATTATCAATGCGGCCGTTAATATGTCAACGGTGGGCAATGCCTCCGGTGAACGTAATCCCTACCTATTGGAACGTAGCATTTATGGTAGCAGTCATGATCTGCAGCGAGAAAGGGATCGTTCCAACGAAAGGGAAAGAGAACGCGAAAGAGAGCGAGAAAGAGAACGCGAACGTATGATTATCAACAGCAATGCCCAGAGGCCAGAACGTGTTCATGTCAAACTGATGGATGAGGCCGGCCAGCATGGCGGGCCAGGAGCTGCTCCTCCTCAACAGCCACCAAACGCTTCAGCAGGCAACTACGCTGAAATATCTCCCAGAAATGCAGGAGAACCCAAATCCGCATATGCCCATAATTTAGCGACATTGGCTAACGTTGCATATCAACATAAATCAATGGTTGGTTCGAATAATAATGCAGTGGCTGGTGGTGCTGCCGCCGCCGCTGCCTCGTCGACAGCAGCATCTTCCTCCTCCTCGTCGTCATCGTCTAGACATTATAATAATCGGGAAAGAGAAGCATCCTCTTATCATTCAGCAGCTTCAAATGCTAAAATGCCCGCAAATATGACAAATTCTTCAAATACATCAACAGCATCATCGTCTGGCGCTGCTCCCAACAACAGGGATTATCAACCGGTTGCCTTGCCCAGAGCCGAAATGAAACCCTGTATAGAAGCATACTTTCAGGAGGAACAACATCAACATCATTCATCATCTTCCTCGCATTCACACAAATCCAACAACAAGGAGAAACATTCGAATCGAGGCAATCGCATGAACGGCACCAATCCTCCATTGGAAGGTAAGTTTTAAGACAGACTGAGAGAGGAAGAAAGTTGTAATTATCGTTAGAGAGTAGGAACTTTATAACCTGATCTAACTTCTATTAAGAAAAGACCCATAGAAAATGTCTATATTAGATTAATTGATAGGTTCCCTCTCAGTGCAAGACCTTAATAAGTATTTATATGCTTGACAGGCCGATATTGTGGATATAATCTTCTGGTCAACAAAAATCATATGTAAGACCTTCTAAAGTCTTTCATCATCATAAGAGGCTCGTATCAACAGAAGACTTATAAAAGTTCTTTCCTCCAAAAAATAAGAGATTTTCTCTCGATAGGTAACTCTGTATTACCTCTTTATTGATCAAGTCCTACCGCCAATCGTCTTCCAAAAAAAGACCCAATTTCTAATAACTTTTAATAGAATATAAAGTAGTAGTAGTAGTAAAGTAGAGTAAGTCTTTGTTCAAATGAAGACATAGTTTCAGTGTCAGACTTATATTTGGTACCCAGTATTCTATAAATAAGGAAACCTATTTGAAAAAGGCGGGATCTTGTAGGTAAAATAACTGTAGAATATATTATATATATTATTTTAGTTCATTTTACTATAAAAAGTTACTAGAGTGGATTTAAGATCCTTTACAAGACTTTTGAAAAATTTGAACATTTTTGTCTAACCTGAATTATACCCCACACCCACATAGTGGTAAGGGTATTATGTCTTTGTGCATTTGTTTGTAACATGGAGAAAGAAGCGAGATAGACCCATAGTTACTTCATACAATCACTTTCTGAATCTATTTATGTATGTCAGTACAGTCTGTTCACGCATTCTTGTGAAAAAAATGCAGGTCGCATTTATTATCCGATTGGGATGAAATTTTCCAAACAATATTTGTTTGGCCCAAGGGCGAACCTTAATGAAATTGGTGATAATCCGATCAGATTTAGATATGGCTCTCATATATCCTCAACCGATTTCGGGTTAATTGCGCACCAAATGAACAATATCAGTCCAAAAGTCCTGAATTTTGTTACATCCGACCGAATTGAATATAAAAACAAATACATCAAATTTGGTGAAAATTGGTTCAGATATAGCTATGGCTGCCATATATATTTTTCATCGGATTTGGTGTTTGGTATCAGATATTAGATACAGCCCAGAATTACCTCTGCTAAATTATCAAGATCGGTTCGGATTTGGATATAGCTCCCACATAGATCTTCAACTGATTTCGGCTTAATTGTGCACCAAATGGCCAATCCAAATGAGTTGAATTCTGGCACTTCCAACCGAATTCAGTCTAGACGCAAGTGATCAAATTATGTCTCCCATATATTAGTCGCCTCTGAAACCAAACTATAACTGCTCTAAAGCCAAATGTTGATAGGTGTTCCCTTGGAATCCATTCATTTTAGGTATATAGTGTTTTCGGCAATATTCGAGATAATAATGCGAGCAATAGTTTAGTGAATATTGTTAACCCTCAAGTGGGGCATCAACAAGTTGATCTTTTTGGTCTTTTTTCATAATATGATTAAAAACTCCCCTTAAAGATCATCGTAGCTATTCAAAATATTCAACAAATTTATTAGTCACAAAATTCTGCTATAGGTCCCAGAAGACATCAAAGATTAAGTCTTATCTCAACACCAGGAATTCATTTAAATTAAAGACACATTTTAGGGTTAAAGCTATTAATTCATGCAAAATTCTCCTACAACGCATTATTTTAGAAGGATGACGTCAAAGACAAAATTATTCTCCATTGAATTTCACTATGAGTCACCAAAGAAAATAAATCTCTATTTTCAATATATATCCAGAAAATATTGGCATCAATGAAGCAAAAAAAATCTCAATTTTTTGATACATTTTTTCACGGCCTTTTTTCGAGTTGATGCCAAAAAATAACATATAATTTCATTGCAGGCAGAAAGTGTCAAAGGAAGAAATATTTTAGACAAAATTTCACTACAAATCTCAGAATAAACCAGATATTTAAGATTAATAACTTTTATAGAAAATTACGTTTGAAATTTATATATTTCAAGTTAAAATTATGTATTTAGGTTTTTTTTTACTACTAATCTAACATGTTTCCATTCTAAGCCGAAATGGGAGAGAATAGGTCATTATTTGAGGAATGTTTTGTAATTCCACATTGCGGTGGAAGAATATAGCTTAATCATAATTGAAAATAACAAAGATTTCTTTCTAACCTTACTTTTTTCGCCAAAGGAAAATCCTAAAATCATTTGGCTAGTTTGAGAGATACCACATTTATTCTATTTTCCAAAACTATTTACAGGTTTAGCTGCCTCATTGATGGCTTCACGTAAATTTCGGGAAGAGCATGAGGAACGACAAAAACGGGCAGCAGCTGCTTCATCAACAAGTGGTGGTGCGACAAATGGCAATAATAACAACAGCGGTCACAATACGGAACACAATGTCAATCATAATCAAATGCATCATTATGCCAGCAACAATAACAATGCATATGGAGGTGGTGGTGGTGGTCACCACCAACAGCCAACATCAACAAATCACAATAGCCACCATCATCAACACAATGGGACACCCATGAAGGTGGAACGTAAGTTCTGAATATGAGAAATCCAGTAATTTCAATCTAATCTCTTTGGTTATTTTCTCCCACCCTTTTAGTTGGTGTAAAACGTACTTCGCCCATGACCAATCATCATCCAAGGCCTTCCAAGATACCCCACTATGAACAGCAGTCGCATATGGGAAATCATCATAATCAGCAGCAACAACAGTTGCAAACGGGTAATACAACATCTTCCGTTAATCCCTATGCCAATACAAATGGAGGTGGACTCAATCATCATCATCATCCTCATCATAGCCAGCATGCAGCCGGGGGTCATCAAGTGGCTGGTGGTTATCCCCAGCATTCGCCATCTTCTTCGTCGGCACAACAACACAGACGTGGTAATAAACAAACTGTGGAACCTTTACTTATGAGTCCTGAAATTAATTCAATAATGGGCGGTGATGATGGGCGATCGTCATCATCATCATCATCGGCCAATCATGGTGGTAGACCAACTGTTAATAATAGCCATCATCAGCATCATCATCAGCATAATAAACAACAACAACAACAGCAACATGGTCATGGTCAGGGTCATTATCACCAGCAGCAACAACAGCATCAGTCCCAACAACAACAACACCAAAATAACAACAATAACCACCATATCCATCAACATAGCCAACATCATCAACAACAACAGCAGCAGCTGCTTCATCATCATAACTCCCTAACCAACTCCACTCCAATGACCAACAACAACAGTCATCATCAACAACAACAACACCACAACCACCACCATCACCAGCAACATTTATCACATAACTCTACAAGCAATACCTCTGCTGCAGCAGTCCTAACAAATACCAACACCAATCCCACTGTTGTGGGAGGTCGTGCCGCAGATGATGGTAAGCTTGACTTTTCTAATAAATGCCCAGAACAAAGCTTTCAACAGCAACACGAACACCACCCGCAACACCAACAGCACAATAACCATTCACATGACACTAAACAAACTAACCTTAAACCAAATACAACTTCTTTTGATTCTAATAATACCGCATCCTCATCCCAAATCGCCCATAGTCCAAATAATACTCATGAAATTAGTTCTTCATCCTCATCCAACCTAGCCTATCATCATATCCAATCTAATATCATACAATATGCTAATACCACCACCAATGATAACACAGAGCCAACACCACCATCATCAACATCCGACACGTTGTTGTCACCCCCCGAACATTCTCTGCAAACTTTCTCATCAACATCATCACCTTCTCCCTCTCCCACCAGAGTCCATAATTTAGCCGTACCCAGAACAACAAATGACCAAAATATCCCATTTGCCGATGATCATGATCCTCCTACTTGTTCTTCCCCCACTAGCGATGAATATTGTGGCGAATAACAACAATCTAAAATGACAATAATTTCAAACATACTATATACCTACCTACATACATATATCATATAGCATATTTTGTAGAGTTAGTTAGATAGCAATGGTTACAACAATTTTTTTATTTTGTATCTTCAGTTTTTTATACAAATTTGCCTTTTTTGATTTCAATTGTTTTAACTAAATAATCCTCTTTTTAAAAACCAACCTCCTTGATATATACAAAATTATTTAATGTTGTTTATTTTATATGCAAATTCTTTTTTACAAATATCGCACACCTTTGCAATATATAATATATTTTTTTTTCTATATAACTTTTATTTTGTTTCAATTATTAAAAATAACTAAAAAAAAACAAACCTCAACCAATTTTTTTTTAATATTATTTGTTTTATTTTTTATGTTATGTATTTGTTTCGATGTTGTTGTCATTGTTGTCAATATCTTATATGTTAAATGTAATTAGGGATATATGGGCGAGGGGACTCAATTAAATCTCCCAACTTCTTAATGGTCGGTAATTCGGAAGAAATTTATTAAGAAGAAATGCTAAACCTAAATCGAATCAAATGTTTTCCAAACAATGGGGTTATGATTTAATAATACTTCAATCGATTTTGGTTTTGCATTATTTTAGAGAAGCCCAAATTATATATCTGTTAGTTAAATTCATTTAAGCCCATACAAAAAAATATTCCAGAATAAAAACCTGAGTTGATCTGCCAATCATTTTGAGAGTTTACCTCGTTATGCTATGCTTTTCATACCCTACAGCACATAGTGATCAGGGTATTATGTCTTTGTGCATTTGTTTGTAACATGAAGAAGGAAGCGGGATAGACTCATAGTTCCTTTTGATGATCTGTATAGAATCACATTCTGAGTCGATTTATGCATGTCCGTCCGTCTGTCCATGTATTTTTTTGTAAACAAAGTACAGGTCACATTTATTGACCAATCGAGATGATATTTTGCACAAATAATTTATTTGGCTCAAAGACGAACTCTTTTGAAATTGGAGATAATCGGGCAAAATTTAGATATGGCTCCCACACATATCTTCAACCGATTTCGGGTTAATTGTGCACCAAATGCCCAGTATCAGTCCAAATGACCTGAATTTTGGCATATCTTACCGAATTTAGTCTAGCAGCAAGTACATCAAATTTAGTGAAAATCCGTTCCGATTTAGCTATAGCTCCTATATATATGTTTCTTCCGATTTGGGGTTTTAGGTTCCTCACATGCGTAATATACACCCCACCAATGTATCTTTGGTACCAGACATCAGATACAGTTCAGAAATAATTGCCTAAAATGTTGTCAAGATCTGTTCGGATTTGGATATAGCTCCCATATATATGTCTTTACCGATTTCAGGTTTATATCAGCCCAAATGACTTGAATTTCAGCACATCCGACCGAAATTAGCCTAGAAACTATTACTTCAAATTTGGTGAAAATCAGTTCAGATATAGCAAGATCGGTCCAGATATTCATATAACCCCCATATATATATTTATTCGATTTCGGTATTTTGATGATTTTGGCTACATTATTCTCCGGAATGGTATCAAATTTCGTACTTACACTTCACAAATGGCACTACAGCCTGTGACAGATAATTGTCTATACAGGTCCACGTCTTCGCAATGCCCCTCATATATCGGTACCTCCCTGTATTTTGTGTTTTGATGATTTTGGCTACATTATTTACCGGAATGGTATCAAATGTCGTATTTGCACTTCATAACGAGTACTAAAACCTGTAACAGAAAATTGTCTATTCACGTCCACGTCTTCGTATAGCCCCAATATATCGGTACCATTATTCACCGGAATGGTATCAAATTTCGTACTTACACTTCACAATTGGCACTACAGCGTGTGACAGAAAATTGTCTATACAGGTCCACGTCTTCGAAATGCCCCCATATATCGGTACCTCCCTATATTTGGTGTTTTGATGATTTTGGCTACATTATTCACCGGAATGGTTTCAAATTCGGTATATGAAGTTCCATATGGGTATATAGCCCCCATTTAACCTTACCTCCCAATAATCGGAATTTTTAATGATTTAAGCTACATTTTCAACCGAATTATCTAAAACTTGGTATTAGGCGTTCGATTATTGATTATTGTCAGATTATAGTCCATTGTGGTCCACGTTTTCATATAGCTCCCATACAAATTTTGAAAATTTCAAAAATTTAGCTGCATTTTTCATCGTATTTTTTTTTCACCGAACTTAACTGCTTTGCTACTTGCTTTTAGTAATTTGATGTAGTTGTGGTGATAAATGACATCTACCTTACTTCCCTCCAATATCATGTAGATGGGACAGATAGAAAACAATGTTTTAAATATGTAATCGAACAAGAAGAAGATTTTCCATTTATTTCTAAGAAGAAAACATTGAATACCTTGTTTTTTTTTTTTAAATTTTTCAAATTTTCCAAAAGCAGTCAAGCTTTACATTTAAATGATAAACTTGAACCCATTAAATAACAATAATAATATATTAAGAATTGTTGTTTATAACTTAGCTTTTTCCTTCAAACATGTGAAACAGACAAACAATTTGTTTATGAAATCAAAATTGAAATTAAAATAAAAAATACGGCAACACAGTTGGTAATGGTATACTAAATTAAATTTGAAAGTAAGATCTAAATTAAAAGTAAAAATCTTACAAAAATTGGCCCGCATAATCTACCAATAATTCCTTCATAATATCCTTCATTTCATTTCTAAAATTAAAAAAAATGAACTGTAAATAATGTATTGGTTTTCTAAAAAAAAACATTTTCATATAAACAATTTCATTAAACGTTATCCTCTCTATCTCTTCTCTTTTTCTAAATAACTCAATTTCTTCTTTATGTAAATAAAACAACATAACCTTTCTTTTGTTACACTCACACACATAATGAAACACACTAATCCGAGAGAAAAAGACATACAATTGGAAATCAATAGTACCATCCATCAACCATTACCATACATACATTGAGACAAAAATGTTTTTCCAAAATTATTCCACATTTTTTTTTTTTTTTTTGTTAATTTGCCGTTTGTCTGTTTCCTTTTCTTTGATGTTTGTGTTTTCTTCTTCTTCTTTTGAACAGTTTTTAAATTGGATACAACTACTACTACTGTTACTACGACTGTTATGAATAGTACTGCTACCACTACAACTACCACGACCACTGCTAATAGTAATAGTTCAAGAGCACTAGGAATTTATGAATATAAACGTAGTACGACTCCACAACCTCCATCTCAATTTTTACCATCCCAAAACCACAACAACAACCACCACCACGACCACCATAATAGCAATTTATATCGTCACCCGCAAAATCCCAATAAGACTCCATCCATTGGAATTATTGTTGCCGACAGTAGTACAACAAAAGACTAAATTCGAAATATTTTTAATTTAGAAGAAGAAAAAAAAGAAATAAATTAGTACAAAGTAAAAAAATTAATAATGAAAATTTTACAGTTAATGTATTTGGAAAAAAATATGACAATAATAACTAAACTTTTAATTTGTATAATGCATAAGACAAAATTTTTGTTTTTGTTTATAATTTTATTTTCTTATCTGTGAGGTAAGTTTGTTTTTGTATTTCGTGTTTTTTTTTTTTCAATTTCTTAAAATTTTCTTTTATTTATTTAAATTATATATTTGTTACTATTTGAATTGTTTTTGTATACTAATTGTATTTTATGATTGTTAAGCATGTTAGTTTATTGTTGTTTTCGTTATATACTAAATTCTTATATATAGTTTAATATGTATATATAGGGATTTTTAAGATTCTCTCGAAAAGTAAATGCCTATTTGAAGGGATCCATTCTGTTGATATAGGCCCGTCTTAAGTTAATAAGAAAACTTTTAACATATCTTCAAAATTTTTAAAAATTAATGTTAATGACCTTTGATGGTCTTTAAGGACTATAGAAAAGTTAAACAAATCAGAAAAATTCATGAAATCGTTATTTGAATTGATAATACGAACTTTTTATACCCTCAGCCATACGGCTACAAAGGCTATATATCATTTGATACGTGCCTCATCGAAATAACTGTATTGGACCCTAGGTCGCTTTGGACCAAATCCGTTTCAGTACATTTGAAGTCGATCTAGACATGTCCCTCCGTCTGTCTGTCTGTCTGGCTGGCTTTGGCGCACGATAACTCTCGAAGAGAGTATCCGATTTTGTCCAACCTTAATACATCGTAATATTATTGTCAAACTTAGATCGAGTTCGGAGATGGGCAATATCGGTCCACTCCTTCTGGTACCTCCCCCACAAAATGTAGGAATTTGCCAAGAAAATATTTTACTGCAAAGAGAGGGAAAGTATAATCGAATTTTGCACCTACTTTGCAAATCCTAATATTTGCATCAGTTCTAGGTCAGGTGCGAAAATGAATAATATTGGTTTACTCCATCAAGTACCTCACCCACAAAATGTCAAAATTTTGAATAAGTATAACTCTTATAAAATGTGATGTAAGAGTCCGGATTGTCTTCAAATTACACACATCACAATATTTTTATTAACCCATGGTCTGGTGTGAAGATGAGATATATCGGTCCACTCCTTCTGGTACCTCCCACATAAAGAGTCAAATTTTTGAATATCTATGAAACTGGTAGACGCGAAATTAACGTCCGATTCCATTCAGTCGTGGCACATCTCAATATTTCAATCAACACAAGATCTGCTATAAAAATGGTAGAGATCGGACCTTTCCTTCTGGCACCTCCCCCACAAACGTTCAAAGTTTCGAATAACCAAAACGATTATTAAATCCGATATAAGCATCCGGTTCTCTTCATATTTCACACATTCCATTATTTCTACTAACACAAGATCTGCTGCGAAGATGGAATATATCGGCCCACTCCTGCTGCTGGTGCCTCACCCACAAAGGGTAAACACTTTCAATACTATTATCTGTCATAACTTGCGAACTAAGTCGGCGATTCTTTGCAACTTGCTTAATCTAAATATTTCTCTTAACCAGAAATCTGATATGAATATGTAATTCAGCGAATTTTATGATTTCGCATAAAATTGGATGTAAATGTTCAATTTCCTTCAAATGTTACACATACCAATATTTTTATCTGTATTAAATGAAGTACGACAATGAAATACTTCGGTCCGTTATATCTCTTATCTTGCGCATATTTCCACATTTTCGAAAATTTTGCACATAGCAAAAATTTTTGTAGGAGAAAGTCGATATAGTCCAAATCTGTCACGTTATAATATTTATATCAGTCTTAGGTCATATAAGAATGGGTCATTATTGGCCAACCGCTTCGGAAGGGTCAACAGTTTAAATAATCATAACTCAAGGCTGGGGGTATACATCTGTCGGCAAAACCGACTGATACTTTTTAACTTGTTCTAATCTAATTGGTCTTATTTATGCCGCCTTGTCGTCAATTGATTGCTCTTAAAAACGATAAATTTAGAATGAATTTGATGGCACAAAAAGCATTCAGTGGAAGACTTTATGGACATAACAGTTGTAAAATTAATTTTCCATGAGAAAATGGAACAGATTTCCCATTTTTCCCATCAATAGATGTAAAAAAAAACCAACATTTCTCTATTCCCCAATCAAACGCCTAAAAGTATGCTTTACTTTATAGTTGTTAATGTAAATGAATAAACTTTGGTTTTACTTGTTTCTAGAGGATTTTTAATCGTTTTTGTTTTCTCCTCTCTTTTTTTGTAAATTATTATTTGTTATTTTTTTGTTTACACTTTCGTGTCAAGTCTTGATCTAACCCAAATTGTTTTCTAAATAATATTGTTTTGTACTAATTTATGAAAGCTCTTTGATGAACTATGACTTCTATTGTCAAGTCAATTGACATAATTGTAACCGTTGAAATAATTACAATCAAAATCCTATGGAAAAAACATTTAATTGTAGAAATTATCCTTTCCTATCCCACTAAAAAAAAACTCTCCTTTCCCCCACAAAAACTGTGCAAACACACACATACACACACTCATCCGAAGGCTATGTTTAGCAGTTGACATTACATTTTTGATAAATATACTAACAACTACACATGTTTAGAGCAGTGCATTTGTTATTTACAACATTATTACTTTGTGCATAAACTAAAAATATGATAATAATTAAAAAAAATATTGTTTTTTTCTCTATCTTCTTTCCAACAATACCAACCAACCAACACACACAAACACCACCAATATTACCATTCGCCAAACAACTAAAAAAATTAAAAAAAAATTGAACAAAATCTTACTTTGGATAGATGACGTTATAGCAGCGGATGATGAAACCCATTGGCAACATCGAGTTAGTTCGGGTTTTGATCGTTTGGTGGCCTTTGCCTCCACGGAGCTGGATAAAACTCGACGCTCGATTGACAACGACACGGTACCCTCATCGATTAGCTGTAATACCTCACCAGATTCTGGCATCACCCACAGCAGCAGTAATTCTGAGGCGGCTCGAACATTTCTTTCCACCTCGTCGACATCGTCGCAACTAGATTTGCCCATTAGCAGTGGCAGTAGTACTTCCAGTGGTAATAGCAGTTTTATGGGTGGCCACCTGTCGGCAGGTCATCACAATAGTTTACATCATCACTCCTCGTCATCGTCCTCCTTGCATCCGGATCACTTGAGTGATAGCAGTATGAAATCTTCGCATTCGGGCGATATGATGAGCTCCTCATTGCCAATAACCTTGAAAAATTGTTCATCTCCGGCCGATGTCAGTGTCAGTGCTATTGACAGTCCTCCATTGTCGGATATGGGTTTGCCGCGTACACCCAGTCCCAGTGTAACCGTGAATACACCTCCGCCAGGTGGCCTAATGATGCATGGCCACAATTTGGATGCAAGTGGTGGCCTGAAAATACCCCTTAAATATCAACGTAAATCGAAAAGCTCTATGGAGAAACATTATAAGAAGAAATTTTGTGAACGCAACTGGGAATATGATTGTGATGAAATACTGGCCTATTCCAATTCATCATCAACAGCGGCAGCCGATGCCGCTGGGACCACCACCCCCGGCGCCGCCACAAACAGCAACAGCACACATAATGGCCCCTCTTTGCTGGAAAACCACTCATCATCGGCTGTGGATCAAATTGATGGCTTGGCAGCAGCTATGGCCCACCACAACAACAACAAAGATTTGGATAATATTAGCCTACAGCAGCAGCAACAACAACAAAATGCAGTACAACAACATCATAAATCGTCGAAATTTCGGCCTAAAGGTAAAGATTGGGATTGGTCCATGGACAGTAATAGCAGTAACATCAGTACCAGCGGACACAAATCGAAATCCTCATCCTCAATGGATATGTCAAATAATAATAACAACAACAGCAACAATATGATGGCCTCATCATCATCCTCGACAGGCAATATAAATAGTAATAACAATACCAACAACAACAACAACAACAACAATCTATCCCTACATTCACAAAAAACTTCAATAATTAATTAGAAAAGTGTGTTATAAATATATGAATTGTATTATGTTTTTCTTTTTTATTTTATTTTTTTGTAATTAATCTTTTATATATACACATAGATATATAAACATTTGCCTTTTGTTTTATAAAAAAATAGATTTTGTTTAAAACCATTTAC